GTGTTTAGACTTCTAATGTCTGTGGATGAGTACACCCTGTACCCCCAGCTCTTGTTTTCCAGCATGGGATTGTTATACTACCATTGGAGTAAAGACTTGTGTGTTTTATTCTTTCTTTTTCATCTTATTGTTTTGGTCTGGAACAGGTGCATAATAAATTTCACTGCACGTCATACTATGTAAAATTGTGTGTGTGATAAATAAAGGCCTTGAATCTTCAGCTTTGAACAGAGCCTTCTCGGGCAGTTCATTTCAAGCTGTTCTCTCACCATTGTATTTACTTTGTCTATATAGTTTAAAACCTTTCAATAACAAGATTAATTTGCAATGAAACAAACCAAAACATTAACCAGAGCAGAAAACGCACATAATAAACAAAGTCTTGCATAGCCTAGTTTAGTTTGCTGGGTTACCGGGTTTTTTTTTAATTCTGTCTGCTCAGTCAGACCTTGACATAAACTCATATTTAGTGCCTCCGTACTCAGTAGAATAAACTTTCACTGGCACAACTTTAGCCGTGCTAGCTAAAATGTAACCAATGCAAGTCGTTAAAAGCTCTTCAGGGATATTATCCAAGATATTAAGAAATGTGTCCTGGATAACCGGTTACTGACTCTCAAAAAACAAAGGACACAGAAGGCAAATAAAGGGTTAATATACTCACCAAAAGCGCTGCCATTACCACTGGTTGTCACCATGACTGATGACCGTTGTCATCTGCGTTCACCCCTGCGCTTCACATGACCAGAAGAGCGCAATGTGATTGGCTGGGCTTTGGATCGACGTCAGCCAGAATCGATTGTTTATGTCTAAGTACCCAGATGTGACAAGTGAATTTTTTCACAGCGAATTTTGAAAAGTGAATTTTTTAAAGCAAATTTTGAACCTGTCAAATTTGACCTGTCGAATTTGAGCACTGTGGAATTTTCATGGCTTCGAATTTTTACACCTGAAATTTTGACTTATTGAAATTTAGATGGGCTAAATTCAGACAAAATAATTCACATACACAATTTCGATGGCAACAAAATTCAAAGTTAGAAATTCAACACCTTTTAAAATTCAAAATCGGATGAGCCTGATTTGCTTCCATAGAGGCCAGATTTGGCCCACGGCCCATGAGATGAGTATGGCTGCACTATATGGCTTTTAAGGGCTGCTGAGCTTTGTCACTATTTCCTTCTTCTGACAAGTCTCAAAGTGCATTTCCTCTTAGTCTCACTCACCGGATGTAGCATGTGGTTATAAGCACTCTGTCATTTCAACCAGCTTTATTCTACCTTCTGCTCTCTGTCCCTTTATCCCAATTCACTAAATATGAAGGAGGAGATTAGCAGAAATGGAAATGAGTGGAATGAAATAAGCCTATAATGTAGTGCAGCTACACCATTATGCTCTGAAGAATAGGCTGGCGAAGAGAGATTTATTTCCTCTTAGGCGTGCCTCATTGAAGCTGCCAGCTTTCACTTCTCTTTGCAGCTGTAGCACTATTCAGCGATCCTGAACACTGCTGAGGTGACTGAAAGCTCGTTGAGGGATGAGTTTCTCAAGTGATGCATCTACTGAGTATGTGAGTGACGAGTTAGAGACTTTGGGGTAAGACTGTTTGTGACTGCTGTGATGTGGCTTTCTTTTACATTTTACCTGTCAAAAACTGTAAGAATGTAGAGCCTCAAACATAAACTGTACGTATTTCCTAACTAAAATCTTGATATGATGTATTTCTTCACAAACATAGATGCTTTTTAGAGCACTGTTTAGAGACACAGTTCTGGTAAAACTGACATAAAGCAATAAGTAGCTTGCAGCTAAGTGACATAGTTCTCATCATGTTTCCAGCTGCTTTCTTTGCAATGTATTGTAGGCTTTGTGAAAGGAATTGCAAAATAGTTTAAATGTTTGAAACTGACTACATCTAGCTTTACACTAACTTTAAATAACATGATTGACTATTTGTTGAAAGTTACATTAAACGATTTGTCCCTGTGTCACCCTGAAACAGCAGCATCAAACAGCCAAGTTCCTCATCAGAGGGAACCATAGGCTGCTTCCGTGTATGTGCAACTCTACAGTCCAATCCAATAACATAGCTTAGCTGTGAAGTGTATGGAGTTTGTAATGTCAATTTTTACTTGAAACTTTCCCTGTGTTCTGCCCACTTATGTATATGGAGTAAATTTCAGATAATGGTGGAAGGTGGGGGGGTTGGTGTGAGGGGGATACATCCCATTAAAGGTGCAGTATAAAAATTTTTTTTAACATTATTGGATCATTAATATAGCAGCAGACAGCTGTTTTCTGACAGTAACAATGCTGTCAAAGAAAGTCCTGCAATAATTCTATAGTCAAAAGTGAAGAGTGAAAGGTTTTATCAGCGCAATGTGCATTTACCTAATCTTTGTTAAAGGTGGAGCTTTTAATTCTGATATAATCAGAATCAACTTTCTTGGCAAAGTTTGTACATGCAAACAAGGAATTTGACTCCAGTGAATCTTAACTTTCTGTGTACAGCAAAGTGGCAGGGTTACAAAGGTTGGTGGAGTATGTTTAAAATAGTGCTAGTATGGATAGGTGTGGGCTATTGCACAGTGGTCCCTGAGTGTCCTACCCTTTTTCCACCAAGAAGAACCAGGTGCTAGTTTGTTACTGGTACTAGTTTCAGTGCTTAGTTGGTTGAAATCTGGCACCTTCTAAGAATCTGTTTGTTTTTCCGTTGGCAAGGAGCCAAGTTAGCCCCACGCCATGCGTCACTGCATATGTAGCTGTTTACTGAACTATGCTGTGCCATACGGAAGTCTACACAGTGCTCCAACGTTTTGTTTTTGTTTTTTCCCCCAGTATGACCAATTTTCTTATTTAGTCGCACTTCCCACCTTGTCACAGGCAGAACATATGACTTGGTGAACATTTTCTTCTCGATAGACTATACAATTTACGGTGTTCCCCGAACGACTCACATAGCAGTATGTGGTAGCTGCTGTTGGTGGCTGCGGTGCCCAGACCGGTGTAAAACCAAAAGCAACTTCAAGAGTAAACTAGGGCGTTCTAATTTCAGATTTGTCCAAGATAAAACTGTCTATGAGTGGAATGAACAGCGCATGTAGATTTCACAAAAAGGCTACATTTCTAAGCATAAATACCGCAGTATACAGAAGTTATTGAAGTACTGTTTTCCACCACTGTGGCGCTACTGGTGGGACACCAGCTTTCAGTGTGCAACAACGTGTGCAAAACTTCCGTGTCCCGGGAGTCATTCCAATACATCTGCGAAAAGACCAGAGATGTCCTGGTGAAAAATGACACAAATCATCACTTGTGTGTCCCATTCATCAGTCTTGGTGGTCACGATAACCCCGCCCCCAGCCCCTGACATACTCGGTGCTTAGCTTTGTCCCAGCAAAGAGTTGGTGCTTGCTAAGCACCAGTTTTGAGAACCTGGAGCCGGTGCTTAGGCAGTGGAAACACAAAGAACTGGTGCTAAGTTAGGCTCTCGCTCCAAACTAGCACTTGAACCAGCTTGGTGGAAAAGGGGTACAGAGACCAGTTGAGTTTATCAGGTTACAGCCTAGGGGAAGAAACTGCCTCTGTGTCTGCTGGTTTTGGCATACAGTGCTCTGTAGTGCCTATGGGATAGGAGGAGTTAAAACAGTTTATGTGCGGCGTGTGAGGGGTCTGCAGAGATGTTAACTGCCCACTTCCTGACCCTGGACAGGTGCAAGTCCTGGGTGGAGGGCAGGTCGGCCCCAATTATCCTCTCTGGAGACCTGATTGTCCTTTGCAGTCTGTACCTGTCCTGTTTGTAGGCCAACCCAAACTAGACAGTGATGGAAGTGCAGAGGACAGATGGGATAATGGTGGTGTAGAAGGTGATCAGTAACTCCTGTGACAGGCTTTCACAGGAAGTACAACCTCTGCTGGGCCTTTTTCTGGACAGAGTCTAAGTGGGGAGTCCACTTCAGGCCCGGAAGATTGTGGATCAGTGGCGACTGCTCAATACAGGGCACAGGGGCGCTGCCCCACTACTAATGACCACATAAAAAGTAGTTCTCAAACACAATATTAAATTTTAATTAATTATAACAAAATAATAATAAAATTATTAATAACGTTCATATTCTTTTGCCATATTGACAATATTTGTATTATTAACAGATTCATAATTAGTCTTCACTGCGTGTTTGCTAATTTTCCACTTCCTGGATGCGGGGCACGGCCAAATTTTTTATTTATTTATTTATTTATTTTCCAAAATTTGTTTCTGTTTTCACGTCTTCACATACAAACAAACATGGCACCACAAAGTGTTACACCATATTTCTAAAACATACCATCCAGCTGTAAAATAAAATAAAAAGGAGCAAAAAAGAAAAAGAACACGGGGCATTGTGAAAAGCATCAAAACATGCTTTATTCTTCTAGGTTATAGTCATTCAAATTTTTTTGTTCAATCAGTTTTAGAGATCTGACATAAAACTTCAGCTCATTCAGTGGGTTTGGTTTTGAAAAAGCGACATTTCTGAATAAAATGTTTACCCATTACTAATAAGTTGTGAATACCATAATCAATTTTCCTATCATCTATGTTTATTCCAAACTGAATTTCTTTTATAGTTAAAGGACTAAATTGAATTCCCTTGAACTGAAGCCAGCCCTGAAAATCCAGCCAAAAACTCCATCATAGTAGAAAAAAAGAAAAGATGCTCCAAGTCCTCATTCTCAGTGTTGCAAAGCACACATTTTCCAGTACCCATTTTGAATTTCCGCTTTAAAAATTCATTAGTTGGGTAAATTTTATTTATAATTTTGAACTGAATTTCCTTAACTTTAAATGGGACCGGGAAAGAAAGATAATTGCATCCAATCTTTTTAATTTCTTCTTTGTTTAAGCCTTTAAGGATGTAATTTCTCTTTGCAGCAGTAGGAAAGCAGCATTTTAGTAAAGAACATCTTAAAAATTTGTTGCTACATTTGGGCTGATAGAAATCAATGCCGTCAATCCAAAGTTGTCTCAGCTTAGGGGAAACATTTGAATAATACATATCCTGTTTGACCATAGACTGAAGAGACAATGGAATAGCTTTTACCGTTTGATTGTATTTTTTCTTAGGACAATGAATATGAAATTTCTCACAGAACTCCAGATGCTGTAAAATATTTCCTTCATCATTTAGAAAGTGGGCAACAGCACATACACCTTTAGAAAACCATTCAGTAATAAAAACAGATTTTCTGTTGATTGTTAGATTAGATGAGATTGATACAACTTTATTGATCCCTTTGGTAAAAACCTCAGGGAAATTGTTATGTATCTGCTATTCCATACTGAAGAATTGTGTGGTGTAAAATTATGTTTGACGATTAATTTCCAGTAAAGCGAGACCTGTGTTAGGAGTGAGCTCCTAAATTACAGGAAGTGGACCCAATAAATGCGACAAGATAACCAGATAAAGGTACCAGACTCAAATCCCAACAACCTGTTGATGAAAATCTGAGAATTTCACTGGCAATTTGCTTAACTCAAAGTCACATTTTAGAAGAAAGTTAAGTCCTCCCATCTTATTAAAAATCAAGTTGGGTATGTAATCCTAAATAGAGTGGATATTGTTAAGCAAAGTTTTTAGCCATTTAAGTTTAATATACCATTCATACTATCAAAGTCTATGGCATTTCCTCCTCCATCCTCATAAAACTTAACCAAATCATCTTTGCCTATATAGTGACATTCCTCCAGATAAAATTAAAGTTCATGCTTTTAATTGCTTTGATCATCTTGTATGATATGGGTAAGGAATATGCCAGGTATATTGGTCTAGAGAGGCTATCCCTTTTTGGTCAATATTATTCGCCCAAAAACCAAGATATCTCTTTGTAACCATCTATTCAAAATCAATTTACATTTGTCGATATTATCCCAAACATTCACCTTATCTGAAGTATTTTTTTCCATAATTATAACTATCCCCAAATATTTAACCTCTTTCTTAACTTTTATGTTGTATAATAATTGCAGAGGATGTTTTTTTAGGGCAAGCAACTCGCATTTGTTCAAATTTAGTTGTAGACCAGAGGCCTTTGAAAAATTAGCAATTGTTTGCAGAACTAAGGGAATTTGGTCTTTATTTTTCAAAACAGGGTGGTATCGTCAACCAGCAGACTTATTATAATTTGCTTACCTATAATATCCCTAACCCTGCAATTTGACTGCTTTTAATTAAAATAGATAACAACTCTGCAACCATTATAGACAAGAGAGAACTCCCACAACCCTGGCGAATACCTCTTTTTATGTTGAATCTACTACATGTACCATGCCCCAAGGATACTGAACTGTTTATATCATCATAGAGCATACCCATAGTGTCCCTGAACTTTTCTTTAAAACCAAAATGAGCAAGTGTTTCTAAAATAAAAGGATGTTCTACCGAATCAAATGCTTTGTAAAAATCAAGGAATAGAATAAAACTGTCACCATCAATCAGCTCGCTATAATCAATCAAGTCCAAAGCAAGTCTTATGTTATTGTGAATAAGTCTGTCTTTGAGAAACCCCGATTGAGTCTCGCTAATTATGTCTGAAACTCCACGTTTAAGTCATGC